TTATCCAAGTCATGTGTATAATTATATTTATCTTCAGTAGGCCAATATATTTTTTTGTGAACAGGTTTATATATATTACAATACTCAAGACCTTCAAATTGATTTATTAATAGAATAAGATTAAAATTATTATTATATCGATAAAATATATTCCTATACCACTTCAGGAGAGATCGAACTCCTTCTGAACACCAGGTATAATTAATCATAAAAAGTTAAAATAAATGTTCTTCGTGAGGGATATAGCTAAAGATATTTTCAAGAATTTCAGGTAAAGTTAAGATGTGTTGAGTACACATAATTAAGAATAAATTATATATTTTTTTTTTAGCTGGATATATTTTTTGTATAATATATATTAGCAGAGTTATTTCACAGTACCGATCAAAATGATAGAAAATTTTAATGATCATGTAGAACGAAAAGTAAAAAATGAGTTTAAATATCTCAAAGATTCCATTATAGATCTGGAATACGAAATGCATATGTTCCATAAAAAGCTAGAGAATATTGTCAATCAATGTAATTATATATATTCAGATAATTATAATTATAATAGCAATACCTCAAATTCTGAAACTGAATTATCTGATGATATGAAAACTCATAGATGTATTCCAAAGATAAGCTGGCAAAAAAAAATATATGAGTCTAAAGACCTTAGTCCAGTCTATTCTATGACTAAAAAGAAATGAAATAAGAACAAGGTATATAATTGTACAAAGGTACATAAAGAATTTTTATAGCCTATTTTAGAGAAATGACACTTCATGCCTTGACACATAAATTAATCGTATAATAAACTATACGTGTTGCCCAAATTCCAAATCATTTGGGATTTGGGACACCAAAATTTCAAATTACTAGTATTTGGGATTTGGGATTTTGGCAAAAAATACTAATCATAATTTGAGATTTGGAATTTGGAATTTCGGCATTTGGGATTTTGGCATTTGGATTTTGAATTTGGGTGGCAGGTATATAATAAACTGCGATCACGATAATCCAATTTTTTAATGTAGATCAAAGAGCATATGTTTGGATGCAAAGGAATAAACACTTTACAGGTTAGATCCGCACATGTCCACATGTTTTTATGTGATCTAATTTCTTACATATATATCCATTGGATATTTTTTGATTAATTTCATGTTTTTTCACCAATCATGAAACTCGCCATTCCATAATGATTCTGCTATAATAAAAACAATACCTATCTTTGCACCGTTTCGGATGTAATCTATTTCGAGTTGGGATATTTTTTTCAAGCGACGTATGAGCAATTATATGAGAACATATGAAAATATCTAAAGGTCCGTAGTTCAAGAACTTATCTGTTTTATGTGGACATTATACTGAGAACGGAAAAAGTCTCAACTACTAATCTAAAAAATCTCGCATATAACATCCTAAAAAACTTTAATGACAATGTAGTCAAAAATAAGAAATTCACTGAGTTGCCTAACTGTGTAAAATGCAATAAAAAGATTTTTTTCACCCCAATAAAGCATTCACAACGCTAGTCTGCTGACATGTTTTCCATAAAATCTGTATCGAGAAGAAACTCCTGTTTACAAAACCAAATGGGTATCCCTTCTCCGACTGTGGAGTAAGCATCGAGACTATTACCGAAGTCACCACAACTGAAACGGATCTTAGGCGCGATTCTCAATTCAGCACTTTGTCAATAGTTGAGAAGATGGGGAAACAGCTTACTATCCAATCTCAGGAAATTATTGATGAGAAGATGTCAGATGCAGATAATTCGAAGGGAATAGGTGGTGATATAGCGGAGGGAGCCTAAAAAAGACCTATTGAAATTGCTAGCAAAGAGACATCCATGATGTTAGATAAATCACCTAGTAAGAAACTAAAGAAGGAGGTAAAATCAGTCAATAGAGAAAAATCAGTGAACCTGAAAAAACTTATTGATGAATTGTTGTCTAAATGTTATCCTACACAAATTGTCGAAATTGTTGAAATGAATGCACCAGGAGGAGGTAACACTAATTTTCTATACTTTTTTAGAAAAATTGATCATGCTGAATCTAAAAATGAGGTTACGAACTAAGATGTTATCAGTAGTTATTTTGATCTTGGAGGTGTCCTATATAAATGATATAAAGAGTATAAAAAGGATAATGGTAAAGAAACATCCAATGCACTGGTTTTCAATGATGTTAAAAACCAAATTTCAGAAGTAAGCGATGGTGCTTTGCGGGAGAGAATGGAAAGGGCTCAGAAAATATATAAACTTTTCACTACTATTGTTAACGGTGATGAGAAATTGGCGAAACAA